CTTTTATTAAAAAATTTTTATCGTTAAATAATAACAAATAACTTAATATTATTTTAGAATTGTATTTCATATATTAATTATAAATTGAATTTTTTTAAAATTACTTAATATATTAAATAAATCATAATTTCAATTCTGTTTATAGTTATTTAAATATTTTTATATTAAAATTTTATAGAAAAAGTAATAAATTTATTTAATAAATTATCTTTTAAAGTAATTGAAAATTTTTAATTAAAAACAAAGTAGATCATTAAAAATTTTTTAAATAAATCAATAAATAAATTATTATTTATAAATATAAATTTATTTTCTTTATTTTAACCCTTAAAATGGTAGACAAATATGAGAATGAGACTTTTAAAGAAATAAAGTGTGACTGTGGCTTATTAAATACACATTATCATTTAAACAATAAAGAGGTACTAGAGAGAGCATTAATTCCAGGAAAGATCTCTAATGAATTCATGTTACACCCAGAAATTAAGAACAAAGTAATAACTAATTATCTTAGTGCCAATGAAGGTAAACTTTATACATTTTCTAATTCAAGGTTTGGAATTATTACAAGTGAATCACTAGAATGTTCAGTAGAGGTTGGTGATGTGATCATTGGAATAAATGACTATGTAATTGATGATGATCAATTGATTAAAATTAAAGAATTTCAGAATCATTTATTTAAATTTGGATTTAAATCTTCATATGAGTTTAGTGAGAACAGTTATTTAAAATATTTAGTTGTAATAGTAAAAAATAATTTGATTGATTTTGATGAGATCAATAATTTTTACAAAAATATCAGTGAATGTTATGTGAATGAATTAGGTGATTATGCTGTTACAAATGGTGAATGTGAATTTATATTAGATGAGTTAAATTTAAATGAATATTCAAACAGGCTTATAAAGGATGAAAAACATGATAATTTAAAAGTTAAAGACTTTGTTAAAAGAATGATAACTAACATTCCCAATATTGATTTAAAAACTAAAAAAGAATATCTTAAAATAATTGTTGAACTACTAAAATTTTCTCTTAATATTCAAAGATTCTACATAGCTTCTTTATCAGAATGTTTTTCTAAGAAATTTAATTTTAATCTTGATTTTATTAAACAGACTAAAATGTTTTGGGAATTTAATTTTGTAAGTCAATCAAGATCTACAGATATTTTCTTAGGTGATAGAATTATTAAGTATGTTTTTGTTGTGTTTTTAGTTCTTGAAGCATGTGAAAATAATTATGATGTTGATACTGAAGATTACAATTTTAGTGTATTTAAGAAAATTATCAAGTCAGTTGAAAAAGTTCGGTGTTATTATGCTTCTAATCAAGTATCTTATGAGTTATGTGTATGTAATAATCTTTATGAATATATATTACCTAATTTTTCAATGAATTCATTTAAACTACCTAATTTGGAAAGTAAACTGGAAAATTTTACTTTAATCGAATCAATTAAGGAAGTTCACTTAAATTCATTTAAAAAGGTAAATGACAATCTAATAGAAACTTTAACAAGTATTTTTTATCATCTTGGAGGTATTCGGAAAGTGATGGAATTTTTTTACAAAATTAGATACTTTAAATTAGACTATTTAAAATATAAAGATAAATATTCTTTACCTAGTAATGTTAAATTTATCACCAATGGATTCCCATTTAAGAATTATTTTAAGGATGTTGAGTATGTTAATATACTAAAAGAAAGTAGTATTAGAAAAGTTGAATCAATAATTGGGTATACTTTTAAAAACAAGGGGTTGATAGAAAATGCTTTAGTTCATACAAGTTATTCAAACTTAGTAAATAGTGAAATATTTGAGGTTTTAGAGTATATTGGAGATTCAACAATTGGATTAGTTGTATGTGATATTGAGTCTGAATATTCAAAAGACTTGTATGTATTAGAACCTAATTATGTTAATAATGAAAATTTAGGAAAGTTAGTTAGAAATACTGAATTATATGATTATTATTTAATAGAAGAAAATATTGATTTTAAATCTAAACACTACGGAGATGTATGTGAAGCAATATTTGGTGCAATAATAACAGATTTAGATTTCAATATTTCTGAATTCATTAGAGTTATTAAGCTTAAGATTTATTCAAATTTTAATTAAAAAATAAATTTTAACTTTGTTTTTATTTATCAAAACAATTATTTAAATTAAAAATAAATATTAAATATTATGAATTTAGATTGTATTAATGATGTTGATTTCTTTACTCAGAAAATAAACGGAAGATATAGAAATATTAATAGAAGACGTATTGCATTTAAGATATTCATATTTGGATTATTAGCATTAACATTATCTTGTGTAAGTGCTTTAATATATTCAGGTATTTATGAAAGAAAGTTTAGTTATTCTAATAATCTTAATAAAACAGTAAATATAATTCCTAATAAAGAAATATACTTTTATATTGGAACTGATCTTAACCAAGCTAGACTTAACTTTAGTAAAAGTATTAATTATGATCAACTTAAGGGTGAATCACGTGATTTAGATTTATCAAGAACTAAACCACTAGATCAGAGGAACGGTAAGGATTACTATCCAGCAGGTAAATTACCAGCTTCTTTTTTTCAAGATTCAATTAAAATAGATGGAATTGATTTACCAGAAGGTGATATTACTTTTGAAGATGAGAAAAGAATAATTGGATTTACAGACTATAAAAGAGATGAGATTAATTTACCAACTGGGTGGTCTAGTAAAACTAACAAAAATACAACTCCACTTAACTTCTCACCAGAAAGATTTTCAACACTACCCATCCTTAACACCAGATTTATTAATTGGATTAATATTGGTAGTTTTGTTGATAGTAGAAAGTTATGGGGTAAGTTTATTTCTCCTTCTAATAAGATAAATATATCAATAAAGGGTGTGAATAATAGTTATTTTAAAAAAAGAAATATACTTTTAACAGATGGTAGTATACTTGGATTAAAAAATTATATCTATTCTGCTATATTATTCTTTATATCGTTATTAGCATTTATAATTGCTTTTGTTGTATTAAATCAAATTATTTGATTAATAAAATTTACTATTTATAGATTTAAAATTTGTTTGAAAAAACAAACAAATATGTTTGCATTAAATATGAACAATAATTTAGAGAGATTAATAAATTCTATAAAGCATGAAGCAAATTTATTAGTAGATGAAATTAATAAGAAAAAGATTATAACTTATAACGAAATAAAGCAAAGTGTATTTGAGGGAAGAAAAATGGAAATTATTGAAATTACTAATAAAAGAAAAGAAAAGTTATTAAGTGAGTATAAAATTAAAAAATCAAAAATTAAACTTAATTTTAAAAGAGACTTATGTCAACATAAAAATGAAGTTTTAAATAAAATAAAAAATACTATTAAATCAAAATTAACAAACACATTAAGTGATGTATTAATAAAAGAAACATATGAGAGTATTGATGATCATAGTAAATATACTTTATTTTGTAATTTTAAGTTTAAAAAAGAAGTAAAAAGCTATTTTAAAGAAATTAATATTAAAGAATTACCAAATAACTTAATAGGTGGTTTAATTTTAATTAGAAATGATGGAAAGGTAATTATTGATAATTCTTATTTAAATAGATTTAACATTTTTATGGAAAAATATTTAACAGATCATATTTTCCAATAAATAAACTTAAAAAATCACTTTAAAATATTTTTAAATGGAATCACAGTTCATTTTAAAGTTACCAGATAAATTAAAGAATATAAATCTGTTGAAGGCTAAATTAACTAAATTAAATGATAAAAGTGTTGAATTGGAGTATAATAACGAGAAGTATGAAGGATTTATTGTCAGACCACCAACTATAATAGAAAGTCATAAAATATTAGATGGAAAGTTATATAAGATAGCAGATATAAACTCAGTAGTTGTAATTAAAGACAAAGATGTTGAACAAGAAGTAATAAATAAAGAAATAAAAGACATGGAAGTGTCTGGAATAACACCACCTATGAAATACTGTAAGTTAAGAAGATTTAAAAAGAATCCAGAAAGATTGAAGTTAATCAAGGAAATAGAAGAATCTGTACAATCATTAATAGATGAAGATGAGAAGGCAATTAAAGTAGAAATTATAAATCCAGAAGTTAAAGAAGTTGATGATATAGCAGCAGAAATAGAGAATGAATTAAAGATAGATGAAGATATTATTGAGGAGAGTATTGATGAAGATTTTATTGAAGAAGAATTAGAAGAAGAATTAATAGAAGATAATAATGATGTTCTATTAAAACAAATTAAAGAAAAAGAAGATTTAATTAAACTAACAACAAATCCAATCCTTAAAAAGAGATACGAACACACACTTAAAGAACTTTATCAAGAATTAGAAAAATCTAAGAAGTAAATTTTATTTGAATGCAATCTTTTGATTGTTAAGGAACTTTCCTATCTTTTTAATTTGTTCTGCTAGTTTAGCAAAGTTATTCTCCATTGTATTAAAATTAAAATTTATAGTGTTTATTTCTCCAGCTAATCCATCTACTTCATCCTTTTCTGTAAAGATAGAATTATCTCTTTCATTGAATGTTGAAGAATAAAAATTCATATAAAAATAAAATTTGTTTATTAAAACAAACAAAGTTTGTTAAATTAAATTACGTAAGTAATCAAATCTTTTAAATTTGTTAAAGTTTTCAAAAAACTCATTCCACTTCTTATTGTTAGATTCGTTAAAAATTTTATCTGCTAAAAATTCATCAAAAAACTTTAGTTTCTCTTCATTAGTAATTTCTAATTGAATGATATCGTTATTTGTATTCTTAAAACTATTAGTAAAGAAGTTAATATCACATAGAAGTAAATATTCAGATGGTGCTAGAGGAGTGTGATAAATTTTATCAGGTAAAAACATATCAGTAAATATACTATCAATTACACTTATTGATGAATTAATTGTTAAACAAATAGCTGTACCTACCATCTTTCTTATTTGGTGTAATATAAAACTATTGCCAGTTAAATTAATCTTAAGATATTTTCTATTCTTATAATTAACTTCACTATAATCAATAGCAACAATATTTCTATAAAAATCTACTTTTACTTTTGAAACATCAGTAAAATTATGAAATGAGTGTCTTCCTTTAAATTTATCAAAAACTGTTTTAAACTTTTTAATTTCATTGTTAAGTACATCAACAGGAATAAAATAATTGTATATTCTTGTACTAACTGATTTATGTCCCAACCAAGATTTTGTTATTTTTACTACTTTATATAAGTAAATGTTTTTTTTGCCCAAATCTTCCTTTATATTGTTATAAAGTTCTTTATCAACTAAAATATTCCTTTCTACTTTACACTGAAAGACATTTAGAAGGGCATGCACACCTTTATCTGTTCTTGATGTGCATTTCATACCAATTTTCTTAGGATCTGTAGAATTAGATTCTTTAATACAATAATATTTGAGAAGTGTGTTTATAATTGCTCTCATTATAGAATCAAGTCTTTCTTCTTTTTGAAATTGTGCTCCATAATAGTTAGATCCATCATATCCAACAAATAGTCCAATTTTTATTTTCATCAAAATTTTAAAAAATTTTATTAAAAAAATTAATTAAATCTTAAAAGATTTATAAAAGAAATTATTTGATTTTATCATTATTTTAATTTAATTAATTTTTTAAAGTTAAAGTGATTTTATAATATTTTTCTATTTCATGTGAGTGTTAGTTGTTTTTATTTCATGAACTATATTTTTAATAAACCTTATTTTTTTAATAAATTACTAATATCTAATCAAATTAATAAACTTAATCATAATCACTGGTTGTGAAAAATCTTATAATAATTATATAAGTTTCTTAATTAACAAATACTTAACTTTCTAAATTAAGTATAATTAATCTGATAAAAAAATAACATAAATCGAATAAAAATAACTTATTTTGTTTTTTATAATTTTTTTCAGAAATGAATAATAAAGAAGTTTATTCAATTGATTTGAAAGATAATTACTTATGTTTAAGTACAAGTGGACCGGGCGTAGAAATGTATAATTTAGAAACAAGCGAGCTTATATTTAAAGAAGAACCGTTTGATAGTGCAATTTGTTTAGTAAAATTTGTTGATGATAACAATCTATTTGTATTAACTGAAATGGGTGAAATAACACTGATCAGAAATTATAATTCAATTAAAGATCTTGATTATGAAACTGTTGATTTTAAATCAAATGTAACTGAATCAATTTGTATTGAAAATAAAGTTTTAATAGGGACACAAGAGGGTGAAATACATGTGTTTGATATTAAAACAATGGAGACAACGTATTTTCAACAATATCATAAGGCTCAAGTAACTCAGATTGAATTAATGAATGGTGATTTGGTATCTTTAAGCGATGTTAGTTTAGTAATAGACAGTTTTAAGAACAAAATAATGACACAAAAGTTTAAAATACCATTAGAAACATTTAGTTATATTGGTAACAATATCTATGCACTAGCTAGTGGTAGTAAAATTTTTATCTTTAATAATAAAAAACTCTTATGGGAATACAGCATAGAAAATGTTCATACAATGAAGAATGAAAATAATTTTCTATATGCGGGTGGTGATTTTAATTTTATTCTAGTAATCGATTTAAAGAATTATAGAACATTTAAAATTTCAGTAGAAACAACTATTAATGAAATTAGAATAATAAGGAATGTGTTATTCTTCGTGTCTTATGAACCAATAATTGGATGGTTACCAACTAACAATTTTAACGACATAAAGTATATTAATTTAATTAACGAAATGGATAATATTTTCGATTTTGCTGTAAACGATAAATTTATTGTAATTGGTGGGGACAATGGGCATTTTGTGTTTGATTGGGAAGGTAAATTGATTGATTAAATAAATTTTTAATTTATGTTTTTATAAAATTTATAAACAATATTATAAGTTTTAATAAAACAACAAAAAGTATAAATATTTTAACTTTTTAAAGAAATATCAATAAAAAAGATCTTTTAATATTAAAACATTTTTGATAGATAAAAATTAGTAAAAATTTCTATTTATTCCTCAAGCTGAACATCCTCAAAGCATCTTGAATAAATATGACTTCTAAATGGAATTATTTGATCAATTGGACATTTAACTAAAATAAACAAATCTAAAACAGAATATCCTAACACTAATCCAAACTTTCTATCTTGACCTTCTTCTAAAACTGTTCCTAAAAATGTGTAAATAAAACCACCATCTTCCGTCTTAATTGGATCATCATTAAGTAAATATTTAGAAGAACCTAGATAAATACAGTCAATTTTATCATTTTTAATTTTCTCAGCATCACTAAATTTTAATAACTGTGATAACAAAGCTTGTTTATCTATTTCACCCTTCCAACTATAAAACTCAAATGTTTCAGTACTTGGTTCAACAGTAATTGCTGAATAGGTATTAACCATGTTTTTGTTATCCATTTTCTTGACTTGGTTCATGAAGAAAGTAACGTATTCTTCTTCGTATTCTTCTATGTCTTCCATTATTTTTTATTAACAAAAAAATTTAAAATATTTTTATTAAAATTTTAATTATGATTAAAATAGAACATGCTGTTATATTTTATAAAAAATATGTAAAAGAAGCAAAAAGTGTATACGATAACATTGAAAGTGAAAATAAATTCTTAATCAGTTCAAATGATGAAATACTTTGTTCATTGAAATTCGATATACAAGCTGATAAATACTATTTAATAGGGATAGAATGTATAGAACATAAATTTGATAATTCTATCAAAATAATAGAGCAGATTGAAATTGATGTAGATAATAAAGTAATCAAAACAAAGAACCAAAATATAATGAATTATTTATCTCTAAAATATGATGGATTTAAACCATATTATGATGATGTAATAGAATTTAATTCAATACAGTATTTAATGAAAGAATGTTCTAATTCTAAATTGATAGATAAATATGATGTATTTGGTATTGTATTTACAAACAAGACATATGAAAGTGTAGCTGACAAGATAATTAAAGCTTTAAGTAATAAAAATTGTTACAAACTCTATACGAAAGACGTATCTTATGAAAGATTATATTCAATTGATATAGTTGAATGTGTTATATTAATTGATTGTCCTTTATTTAATTATAATTTAAAATACATCACACCTTTTAGTGTTTATACTTATTTTAATAAAGAATGGAATGTTGATAATTATGATAGAAATATAGTTAATTTAAACATTAAAACTGATTTAAAAGATGAAATAAGTTTAAGTAAAGAATTAAAAATTACTAATCAAAATTTAGTTAAAAAAATAAACAACAAATCATTTTTAGGAGTTGAATTTAAAAACCACATAGAAGATATGAATATACACGAAGGTAACTCAGGCATAGCCAGTGATTATAAAAAATAAATTTTATTTAACTATTTTAAGTTTTCTAAATATTTTTTTAATTACCATTTCAGGAAGATGTTTTTTATTATTTTTATTGTTAATTGATCTAATAAGACAGACAATAAAATCCGTTAAAATAACCAAAATAACACTAAAAATAACCCAAACTAATTTAGGGATAGTTAATTCAATAGATTCATCAAAATAATAAATCTTATCTTTTAAAAGCATATCATACTTAACTTTATCATTTTTAAGGATTTTATAAGCTGTTATAACTAAATCTCTATATTCTTTATTGGTAAGAGATGGATAAGGACTGGGTGTTTTTAGTAGTGATTTATAACTCTTATATATTTTCTCGCTAGAAGATAATTCAGATATTCCCAAAAGCTCATAAAATGTTTTACAGTCGGTTTTTGAGTGTAATTCTTTAATTTTATACTTTAAATTAATCATCTCATTAATTCTATAACAATTTATCAAATTTAATAAAATAAATAAGAAATTCATAATTCTTTAATAAAAAAAATAATTTTAAAAAAATTTAATTAATTTATTGATAAACAAATGAAACAAATAACGTTAATTAAAAGTAAGAAAGTTGTTATTGTTTGGTTTAAAATGAAAAAATTAATATATATTAGGAATTCTATTAAGTAATGAGAATAATTATAACATTGTTTATAGTATATTAAATAGTGAGAAATACCTTGAAGAATGTTTAGATAAATGAATAATTGGTTATTATAGTTATTATTGTAAGAAAAGTATATTCCTAATAAAAAATAATAAATAACGCCATGAATTAAATGAAAAATATTACAAGAAGATCTAATTTTGTCAAAGTATAATAATGTTTCAAATAATCTTCTTAGTGTGTATAAACAAAAGAATGATTTAAAAGATACTAATGAACCAATTAAATAGAATAAAATAAAATATTTTTTACTGATTGGGAATAATATTTTAGTCTTCTTTCTTCTATTATGAATTAAAAATTCAGGAAATAACCACTTAAAACCTATCGAGATTAAAATTGAAATAATCAAATAGAGATTTAATAAAAACATTTTGTTATTAAAAATTTATAAGAAAATGTTTAGAGCTTTAAATACAGAATTGGATGATTTAAGAAATAAAGTTGAATTAGAAAAAGAAAAATTGATCAATTTATACAATGATACACTATTAAATGGAAAGTATGAAGAGTTTTTAGAATGCGGATTAATTTACAAAGAAAATGAATCTATTTTACAAGAAGGAAAGTCAAATATTTTGTATAATTTTGTTAAGAACAGGCCTCTACCAATAGTAGAAGATAAGCTTATTAAATTCAAAATATGTGAAAATAAACAAGCCTTTTACATGTACATAAGAAAAGTATTAAATATGAAAGATTTTATTAT